CTCAGCACCACCGTCACCTCTTCCTCCTCGCTGGACTCGGTACCGCCCTCCTCCTTCGTCCTCCCTCGACTCGCCGTCGGCCGGCCCCTCCTCGCTCCGCCCTTCCTCCTCCGTCCTACTCTCTCCTCCCTCCTCCAGTCGCCCCTCCTTCTCCCTCCTCCCTGCTATATTTTGATTTAGTAGGCTAGTTCATATGCAACATTATGATTTAGTTGATTTAGTAGGCTAGTTGATTTAGTTGATTTAGAACATTTTGATTTAGTTGATTTAGTAGGCAAGTTGATTTAGTAGGCTAGTTGATTTAGTTGATTCATAGAACATTTTGATTTAGTTGATTTAGTAGGCTAGTTGATTTAGTTGATTTATAGAATATTTTGATTTAACAATTATTTTTCTTTCCTGTGAAGTGGATCGTTAATCCTTGCTCATATTGCTTTAGGAAAATGGTGCCACCACTACCACCACCATGTCCCTTGTGCAAGTCAAGGTGCGCCAGCAGTCTTGCAACTGGCAAGCTGTTCGGCATCTACTTCTAGCCGAGTTTTCGTCATGCAACGGTAAGAAATTGTATGAAATGTAACAACTATTTTATTTTTAGTGTTGGCATTACTTCATTGTGTCATATTGCTTTTTTTTACACAGATCGTCCCATACAATGTGAGGTTGAAATTCAACAAGCTGACAGGAGACACTGTGACATTTGAGGCTCCTTGGGGGGCCGTACACTATGGAGGTCGAGAAAGGACACAATATGTCGTAGATTAGAGGAGATGGATGGGCCCATTTCCTCACCCGCATGCGTCTTACTGGTGGTGAGTTGATCAGCTTCTCCCTCAGAGCAGAAAGACCCAAGTTGGCTGTCATTTATATCAACCTTGTGGAAGATGATGAAGATGATGAAGATGACGAAGATGATGAAGATAATGAAGACCCACTCGATGAAGATGATGAGGACCCACTTCATGAAGCCATGGTAGCTCAAAGAATGAGTCTGAGCGAGGAGGAGGTGTGCAACCTATGGGACATAATTCCACCACGTGCTGACTTTGTCGGGGTGCCATTCGTGACCCGTCTGACAAGTACCATGGTGGATCGACATGATATGGTATCTTATACTTACAAATGCAAATTATCCGATGATATGCTTAGTGTAGAGTTCAATGATATGTTGTATGGAATCTAGTCGATGATATGCTTTAGTGTAGAGTTCGATCACATGCTTATTAGTATAGAATCTAAGGAACTATTAATAATGTAGATAATCAATTATACCTATTTGCAAGAGTATGTGCGAGGCTTTTTATTAATTGATATGTTTTTCTTATTTAGAAATAGGCAAATAGCCTATCTGTGAGTTATGGTATCGAGCCTGATGAAGAAGGCTCAGCTGGACTACGCCTTACCGCAAGGGGCTCCGTCACAACCTGTACTTACCGCGCGGACACGGACGGTCGCACACACTTAAACTCGGTTGGGTGGAAGAGATTCATTGATGCCAAGAATCTTCGTGTTGGACAGGCCATCCTAATTACTATCAGGAACACCCACCGCAAAGGCTTGAGGATGATGATCGTCTTTGATATCATCTAGAACTACATATGTGTGTGTGGCTATATCATCTAGAACTACATATGATGATCGTCGTCGATATCATCTAGAACTACATATGATGATCGTTGTCGATATCATCTAGAACTACATATGATGATCGTCGCCGATATGACCTTGTACTGCTTGAGGATGCATGTTGACTATACATGAAATTATTATCCAGTACTCCCCCTTCGTTCCTAATTACTCATCGTGGTTTGAACTAAAACCACGACGAGTAATTTGGAATGGAGGGAGTACTACCTAATATCTATAATGCTTTATGAAATTGATATCTAGTAGTAGTATCTGGAAATTGCAGTTTATTGAAACCGAAATGGGGCAGGAAGCGGGGGAAAATGATGAAAGATATATCAGTAGCGAGGGGCTAGGAAATCACTATAGCTAACTAATAGTAGCGCATTCCAAAAAAGCGATGCTGATATAATAAACAATAGTAGCGCGAGTGCAGACGGCGCTACTACTAACAGTTAGTTGTAGCGCCGTAGTAGTAGCGCGGCTGCCCGCACTGCTGATAGCCTCAAAACCTGCGCTACTACTAGGGTTTTCCCTAGTAGTGTATATATATCGTTGGAGAAGCCTAGATGTACGCATTTTGTATCGTAGAAGCAGGCTATGTGCAAACTATCTCCATATTTGTGTGCTATGTATGCAATCGTCAAGAAAAAAAATGAAATATAGCGCGCCTGCTGGAGCGGCTCGGGCGCGCTTTATTTTGCGGCGGACGCTGGAGCCAGCGCACCGCCGCGCGCAAAACCTGGCTCACCCGGCGCGATATTCTGATTTTTAGCGCGCCTGTTGGAGATGCTCTTACAATCGCAATTGCTCACGAATATGCACATTGCACCCTATTCGCAGAGATTTTTTCTTCAGTGGGATCAGAAATATGTATTCGACGAAACGTATTATCTCGACAGTTGATACGTCTCCAACGTATCTACTTTTCCAAACACTTTTGCCCTT